TGTGTTTGTATTGTTGTGATTGGTTCTTATTGCAACACAGGGGTTTGGTTTGGGTTCCTTCTATAATATGTGCTCTGTCCTTTCAGAATAGCTTGATTTTTAATTTAGTACACGCACAGAAGTGCTAAATTGCGCTATGCACATGCGCAGAAGCACCAAATTACGGCCCGTGCTTGCGCAGACATGGCGCTGCAGGCTGCGAATGTGCCTCCCGCACGAATCACGTTCTCAACCTGAGCATCCACTTTACATCACTTTTAACCCACTGGGGCATTTCCAAGCAAGAAAGCACAGGATTGGGCTGCATATCTGTATTTCATCCTGAGAACTGGAAGCTTGTTCATAAATTTTCCTGGAGAACATTTTCATTGCCCAAATCCTACATATAATCCTAAATCAATTAAGTGTTTGCTGTCTCAGTGGTAATTGAGGACTCCGCTCCTTAGGATAAAATTATCCACAGAACAAGATGATACACCAATCCTAAATACATTAAGTGAATTTAATTCTAAGGCTATCAAAGTGACTAAAGGAATTTTAAGTTGATTAATCGTCTTCCTTTTAGCCAATTAATCAGTCAAATAACAGATCAAATTTTTTTTTAGATATTGAAGAAAGTATAAGTCAACTTACAATTTAATAAACAAGAACTGCTAGTCTCTATTAGGAGATACCATCTTTCTTTCTTTCTTTCTTTCTTTCTTTCTTTCTTTCTTTCTTTCTTTTATTTTCTTTCACTATTACAGAAATGCACCAGAATTAACACTGATTAACATTTCCCCTGAGTGATTAAATCTGGTCCTCACCACTTAACCAACTGGAGATCTGATTCAGTTGCTGAACAACGCTTGCAACCCTCATACATTCCATTTGAATGCGGTGGAATTTACTTCCATATAAGAAAGTGTTTGTAGCATTAACAGCCAGAGTCCCACAGTCATTGTACCCAGCAACCTGTACAGAGTAATCCTCAAGTCACATATGGTGTGTTTCCTTTTTAGCTGTGTTGATTCCATTGAAATTAGTGCAGTTAAACTAGTTTAAGGGACCTGAATGCCAATTTTAACTTGGGTGGGATGAACATTCCCAAAATCATAATTTCAGCAAATTTGGGAACCATTTCACTAATTTAGGAAGCCACTACACACAGAAAAACTACTAGTCACATGGCTCCTGGTGGCAAAATCAGTCAAATGCAACCACTTTTTTTAAAAAAAATACCTGTTACATAGACAATAGGTGTTGCTTCACTTAACCTAGCAGCAGCTCTCCATGGTGTGTTGATTCCATTGAAATTAGTGCAGTTTAAACTAGTTTAAGGGACCTGAATGCCAATTTTAACTTGGGGTGGGTGAAACATTCCCAAAAATCATAATTTCAGCAAATTTGGGAACCATTTCACTAATTTAGGAAGCCACTACACACAGAAAAACTACTAGTCACATGGCTCCTGGTGGCAAAATCAGTCAAATGCAACCACTTTTTTTAAAAAAAAATACCTGTTACATAGACAATAGGTGTTGCTTCACTTAACTAGCAGCAGCTCTCCATGGTCTCATGCAGGAGCCTGTTAAATAAACTATGGCTTAATGTGAATGTGCAGTGTGCTAGTGCCTACTGCTGAAATGGCAGCTGCTTTGTTCCTCTCCTATTCCTATTGCTCCTGCTGCACTGCAAGAAATAAGCCAAAGTTTGGCTTGTGATGTCCAAACCCAGGCACATGGTTAGCATTGGGCAGGACTCTGTGCACATGCTAATGTACAGACATAGAACTCCTCTATGTATGGGGGGGGGTCTCTCATGTCGGTCTCTCATGAATAGCTTATTGCAAATTCATTAGTATGTGCTTACAGTCCTTTTCCATGCCAGCCAAATGTGTGTACTGTGGGGAAAGCATTTCTTCCATGAGCATTGTAAGTTGGTTAATTCAGTCCCAGGATATGCATCTGCCCCGCTCCAGGTAGCAGTGACAGTCTCTTATTTATCCAGCATGGTGTAGCATTTATTCGCGGAAGCATTAAGCCCTGTGAATTTTCACTGGTTTCAATCAGCACTTTGGGCACTCAGCGTCCAACGGTATCAATCCATTAAGTAGAGTCAGATTTTTTATATTTTTTTTAAGGTTCTTTATTGCAAAGGCCGCAATTTCTAACCTAAATGAAGTCACTTGAAACTGATTTTCAAGAGCAGTTAAACATTATCTGCTGTCACTTATTTCCCTTCTGAATGTTAGGGTCCTTTTCTGA